GGTCTTTTTTTTTTTTTTAATTTTAAATCAATTTCAAAACCGGGCCCGGGTTCCGGCCTCGGGGCCCGTAAGTTTTGCCCCCCGGCTTTTCCTAATGGGGCCACCTTGGGTCGCTCCCCTCCCCTCGGGGTTTTCCCTCACAACCCTCCGCCCTCAAGGGGCTGGGGGCTCCCAGGAAAGTGGGGGGGGGGGGCAGAGGGTGGAAGGTCCCAACCGGGGTTTGGCCGGGTTTAACCTGGGCTTCACCCGGCCTCTGCCCCCAGAGCAGCTCACGCCTGGGTGGCGTCGCGGGAGCCGGTGGGCAGCTGGGAGCAGGACTACGACCGGGCCGTGCTGCCGCTCCTGGACGCCCAGCAGCCCTGCTACCTGCTCTACCGCCTGGACTCCAAGAACGCCCAGGGCTTCGAGTGGCTCTTCCTCGCCTGGTCGCCTGACAACTCCCCGGTGAGTCCGGGGGCCCCTGCCCAGTCCCGAGATCGGGGGGAGGGGACACTGGGTCTGAGCGAGACAAGGCCGATCCCTGGCGGCAGGGAGGGGGGAGCCAAGGGGTTCACATCGGGACCTGCTCCAGAGCGGCTGAAGGGACAAGGCCCTGGGGTCGCCTGCAGCCTCCTGGCTGTATCCGCCTGCTCTGGGAGTCAGAGGTTGAACTGGGCAAGGGCTCCCCCTGCTGTCCGAGCCGCCCCACTGCCTCCTCGCCTCCACACTGCGCCCTCTGCCGGGTGTGTGGGCACCAGGAGGTGACCTGCCTGCTGGAGAGACAGCCCTGCCTGGAGGGGTCTCACGCTTGTCCCCTGCGGCTCAGGTGCGGCTGAAGATGCTGTACGCGGCCACGCGGGCCACGGTGAAGAAGGAGTTCGGGGGCGGCCACGTCAAGGACGAGCTCTTCGGGACGGCGAAGGTAATGCCTCCGCTGGACCCTCCGAGCTGGGGTCACAGGCCTCAGAGGACGGGACGGGTCAGGGTCACAGAGCGAGTGGGCACCAGGCTGGGGCGTGAGTGGGAGGGCTGAGTGCCCAGGCTGCAGGCTGGGTGCTCAAGGGCTCCTGGCAGCCCGCCCGAGGCGCCCACTTCCGCCTCTGCATCCGCGGCAGGACGACCTCTCCTTGGCCGGGTACCAGAAGCACCTGTCGTCCTGTGCGGCGCCCGCCCCGCTGACCTCGGCCGAGAGGGAGCTGCAGCAGATCCGCATCAATGAGGTGGGTGTGCTGTGCTGGGGGGCGGGCCTCCAGGCCACGCCAGGCCTGAGCTCCCGGCTGGCCGCAGTCTGGTTAGGCCTCGCTCACTGATCGCTGCCCCCAGGTGAAGACAGAGATCAGCGTGGAGAGCAAGCACCAGACCCTGCAGGGCCTCGCCTTCCCCCTGCAGCCGGAGGCCCAGCGGGCGCTGCAGCAGCTCCGGCAGAAGACGATCAACTACATCCAGCTGGTGGGTGCGCTCCCTGCCCGGACCCGTGACCCTCGGCCCCCACCCGACCCCCGTCCCCTCCCCCGCCTGCCCGCACACATGTGCAAGCGTGCACACCCAGGTCCCCAGCCTGTCCACGCAGCTCACCCGGGTGCCGGCGGGAACACCTGCCCACCCCACCCCCGCCCCTTCCTGTTCCCATTTGGGTGCAGCTGCGTGTGTCATGGATGCGCTCTGTTCCCCGCCTGTCCCTGCTCATGGGCAGGGGGCCTGGGACAGTCCCTCCCTCTCTCCGCCCGCACACGGTACACATGAGGTTCCACTGACTCCTGGCTGTCAGCCCCTTCCTGTCCCAGACTCCGCCTCACCCCCATCCCCCAGGCAGCCCCTCGGCCCCTGTGGTCCAGGCCGCCCCCTCTGGAGCCGAATGGCTCCTCCTCTTCAAGACACGGCCCCCCAGCGGCTGGCGTCTGAGGGTGGGCTGGTCCTGTCCATGGCCCTGGGGGGAACCTCTTCCAGCAGAGCTTTCCCGGGGGAGTTAGGGCCGGGACCTCCATGGCGGGGCCGCGGGGAGGGACGTCCCCGGCAGAGGGAGCTCCTGCCCTCCACCCTCCCACCTCGGGAACTCGCCTGGCGGGTGGGCCTGGGCCCCGCCTCACCCAGTGCCCTCGCATCCCCCCGCCCTGGCAGAAGCTGGACTTGGAGCGGGAGACGATCGAGCTGGTGCACACGGAGCCCACGGACGTGGCCCCAGCTGCCCTCGCGGGTGCCCCGGGAGGCCGCCCGCTACCACTTCTTCCTCTACAGGCACACCCATGAGGGCGACCCCCTCGAGTCTGTGGGTGAGTGGCGCAGGGGGCCCCCGGGCGGGGCGGGGGCGGGGTGGGGCTGCAGCGGGGGGCCCGCCATTCACCCCGTCTCGCCCCGGGCCCCCAGTGTTCATCTACTCGATGCCGGGGTACAAGTGCAGCATCCGGGAGCGCATGCTCTACTCCAGCTGCAAGAGCCGCCTCCTGGACTCCGCGGAGCAGGACTTCCGGCTGGAGATCGCCAAGAAGGTGGGCGCCGTGCGTGTCGCCCCAAGGCCGTCTCCCGCCTCCGCCCGGGGCCTGGGAGGGACGGGACGGTGGAGGGGCAGGGCCACTGCTGCCCATTGGGTGGCTGGGGAGACCGAGGCCCTGTCCAGGGCTGCCCCGCTGACTGATGGCCTGGACAGGCCCGAGCCTGGCTCCGTGTCTCCTGTCCCGGGTCCGGAAGGCGGGGTGACCAGGGTGTGCAGGGCAGCGGGGCCCCAGGCTCCATGTTCCTGGAGGTGGCCGTCCAGGTGGGGGTCTGGGAGGAGGCCCCAGGCTGGAGTGTGAGAGATCAAGGAGTGGGGGTGGGGAGTCTGGGCCCCGCACCGGTGGGGTGACACTGCTTGCCCCTCCCAGATCGAGATCGACGACGGGGCCGAGCTGACGGCCGACTTCCTGTACGACGAGGTGCACCCCAAGCAGCACGCCTTCAAGCAGGCCTTCGCAAGCCCAAGGGCCCGGGCGGCAAGCGCGGCCACAAGCGCCTCATCCGCGGCCCCGGTGAGAACGGGGACGACAGCTAGAGGCGGGCCGAGCCGCGCTGGCCGGTGACTGTGGGGCGCCCGCCGCCCGCTCTCACCGCCGCCCTCCCTCCCGTCGGGCTCCGGGCAGGTCACCCTGGGCAGGAGGGCTGGTGACT